CCGTGGTAGCGCATGCCTGTAATTCCGGCTACTCGGAAGACTGAAGCGGAAGGATCGCTGGAGCCCAGCAGGTCGAGGCTGCGGTGACCGGGAGCGGCCACTGCACTCCAGTCTGGGCGACAGAGTGAGACTCCAACTCAAAAAAAAAAAAAAAAAATTAGCTGGGCATGGTAGCCCGTGCCTGTAATTCCAGCTACTCGGAAGGCTGAGGTGGAAGGATCACTGGAGTCCAGCGAGTCGAGGCTGCAGTGGCCGGGAGCAGCCACTGCACTCCAGTCTAGGTGTCAGAGTGAGGCTCCAACTCAAAAAAAAAAAAATGAAAAAATAAGAGATGGGGTCTTTGTCACCCAGTTGAAATCAGGGGCATGATAATAGTTTACTGCAGCCTTCTTAGCTCAAACAATCATTCTACCTCAACTTCTCAAGTAGCTAGGACTACCAGTAGCTCTGACTACAGCTGCACACCACTATGCCTGGCTAATTTTTTTTTTTTGTAGAGACAAGGTCTCACTATGCTGTCCAGGCTGGTCTTGAACTCCTGGCCTCTAGTGATCCTCCTGTCTCAGCCTCCCAAATTACTAGGATTACAGGTGTGGGCCTCTGCGCCTGGTCTTAGACTCTATGCGCGAAACCACTATTAGCTCCTGCCTTTCTTATTTATGTCTTTTTCTCTCCAGGTTATTGTTCAGAACTACAACTCCATTTTGACTCTTTCTCACTTGTACCGATCTTCAGACGCCCTCCTTGTCCATGAGAACGACACTGTTCATAAGATCTGCGCGAAACTAATGAACATCAAGCAAATCTCCTTTAGCGATATAAATCAGGTCCTTGCGCATCAGCTGGGAAGTGTTTTCCAGCCTACTTACTCTGCAGAAGGCCCATTTCACTACAGAAGAAATCCACTAGGTATTTGTCCCCCTGTATGTTTTCCGTAGGGAAGCTTTATGTTCTAAAAGCCTCAAAGTCTATTCTTCCCTGTCTCCTCCTCTCTGTCTGAAGATACACTCCGTCTCTCTCATCTCAAAAACTTTCCTTTAGACCTGCTTAGCTTTCTAAACTATCTTACTGAAAAGCTTTGAGAAGTTGCTAAATTTCTCAAAAGAGTGGTGGATACCTGCTGGACATGGTGGCTCACGCCTATAATCCCAGCACTTTGGGAGTCTGAGGTGAGAGGATCGCTTGAGCCCACGGGTTCGAGACCAGCCTGGGCAGCTTGGTGAGACCACGTCTCTACAATAAATCAAAAAATTAGCCAGGTGTAGTGGTGTGCGCCTGTAGTTCCAGCTACTTGTAAGGCTGAGTGGAAGGATTGCCGGAGCCCAGCAGGTCGAGGCTGCGGTGGCCGGGAGCAGCCACTGCACTCCATCCAGTCTGGGCAACAGAGTGAGACTTCAACTCCAAAGAAAAAGAAAATTAGCCAGGCATGGTAGTGTGCACCTGTAGTTCCAGCTACTTGGAAGACAGAGGCGGAAGGATCACCGGAGCCCAGCCTGGACGACGGAGTGAGACTCCAACTCAAAAACAAAAGAAGAGTGGTAGACACTTACTGCCCCCATCCTTCAGGATTCTTTTTTTTTTTTCATAGTAACCATATTGAGATATAATTCACGTAGCATACATTTTACCCATATAAAGCGTAGAATTCTGTGGGCTGGGTGCGGTAGCTCAT